AAAAAAAAAAAAAAAAAAGAGTCGAGCTAGGCCAGGTGTGGTGGCTCATGTCTGTAATCCCAGCACTTTGGGAGGCTGAGGCAGGAGAATCGCTTAAGGCCAAGAGTTCAAGACCAGTCTGGGTAACATAGTGTGACCTTGTCTCTACAAAAATAAAAATAAAAAAATTAGCTGGGTATGGTGGCACACGCCTATAGTCCCAGCTACTCAGAAGGCTAAGGTAGAAGGATCACCTGAGTCCAAGAGGTTTAGGCTGCAGTGAGCCGATTGTGCCACTGATTCCAGCCTGGGCAACAGGATGAGACTCTAATTTAAAAAAATAAAAAAATAGACTTAATAGAAACTGGTGATAGGTTGAATGTGAATGTGAGGGTTAGGGAGACGGGGGAAGCTGAGGTGACTCTCACGTTTCTGATATGAGGAACTGACTGAATATAGACTGAGATGTGAATCTCAGCAAAGAAACTTCTGGGCTCCAATGGGCCTCAGAAACTTGAGAGGGGAGTGTTGAAAATAGAGAGGACACCGCTTGTGTTCTTCTGAGGTTTCCCTGCTGGGCTGGGATTGGCACACTTGACTGAGATATTGCCCTTCATTTTCCCTGGCAACCAAGGGAGACAGGGCACCCCAAGGCCAGGACAGGACCCCCCAAACCCAGGTATCCAGAGCTGATAAGGACTAACCCCAGAGACAGAAAAAGATCCTCAGACTGGAGGACAAAGCCATTTCTGTGTCTGGCTCTTTGTCCCTTGACAGTCCTGTGTCCCGAGGTGGCAGACCTGCATCTCCAACACGGATGACGCCCTTGGCTTCGCTTTGGGCTCCCTCTTTGTGAAGGCCACATTTGATCGGCAAAGCAAGGAAATCGTGAGTCACCTCGGTTCTTCCAACACCACTCCTTGTCTTATTTAAAATTCACTGTCCATTTATATGTGAACATATAGACAAGCAATTGGAAGGAAATTCATAGACAAATGAAGAATGGTTGCTTTAGGCAGTGGGATGATGAAGGGCTTTTAACACTTTCTGTATTTTCCAAATTTTCTATAAGTCACTTAACTATATAGCTAGAAGAAATAACATTTGTTTGTTAGGAGATAATAATGGATTTGCTTAAAGTATATCTATAACGATGTTTATGGCAGTGTTGTTTATAATGGGTGAACAAAAAAACTTAAAATGTATATATAAATGCTTAAATGAATAAGGTGAAGGAAAAATGATTGTAGTTAGGATGGATTATGAAATGACTTTACAAGCAGATGATATATCTTTAAGTGAAAAAAAGTAGGTTACAAAAGATATACATGTTATACAACACAATCCATATTTCACATGCATATCTGGGCATGGATATACTTCAGAAGTAGATGATCAGAATATTAAATGAAGCTGTTTTAGAATGGTTAGATAATAAGTGATCTATTTTCTTAAACTCCTCTCAATTTTCTAAATTTTCTTTGTCCTCCTTCTGTAATCAGATAAGAATAAGTGCATGATATTAAAGTATAATATTAATTTAATTAACTTATTGTCAATTAAAAGTTTTACTTAATTAGAAAAAAAGCCAGTCCGTAATCTCGCGCTTTGGGAGGCTGAGGTGAGTGGATTGCCTGAGCCCACGGGTTCTAGACCCACCTGGGCAACTTGGCGAGACCTCATCTCTACAATAAATCAAAAAATT